AAAACTACATACTTTTGGTAAAGAAGGGAGGTGTGCAGATAGGATACTTGCTAAAGTTGGGGAAAAAAGATTTTAGAGTAAGCGCGCTACGTACAGGAGATGCACAATCACCACAGGGGGTTAGTGGGGAGTGACGTCATAGTTGAGGCCGTAAATATTCAACGCTACCGTAAGAACAGGCGTGCGAACGACCGTGGATGGTAAGGGGGTGTTACGATTAGAAGGGGATGGGAAGGGGGGGTTACGCTTATAAGGTAGAATTGGAAATAAACGCGACAAGTAAATCCCCTTCCCCTTCTAATTCCCATCCCCTTCTAATCGTAACACCCCCCTTACCATCCACGGTCGTTCGCACGCCTCTTCTTACGGTAGCGTTGAATATTTACGGCCTCAACTATGACGTCACTCCCCACTAACCCCCTGTGGTGATTGTGCATCTCCTGTACGTAGCGCGCTTACTCTAAAATCTTTTTTCCCCAACTTTAGCAAGTATCCTATCTGCACACCTCCCTTCTTTACCAAAAGTATGTTATTTTTTCCCCCAACTTTAGCAAGTATCCTATCTGCACACCTCCCTTCTTTACCAAAAGTATGTAGTTTTTCTCCCTGGTGTCGTATACCTATCATCGACGAAGACGTCACGGGTAAGACGACACCTGGGTAAACATTGGCAGCATTTAAACTTCTTCTAACCGACGCTCCACAGTGTACCCGAGGAAGGCCTATTAAGAAGGCCGAAAACGTTTGTACTCCAGTTAATAAGGCTAGAAATTAGTGAGAAAGGTTTTGTGCTGTTAGTCTTAGAAATAGTTCTAGCTACATATGCATAGTAATTTGTAATTCAATAAAATTGTTTACAATGCACTTGGTACCATTTGAAATCCATCAGAAACCATTACAGAATTGATATCAAGTTATTGAATTGATTATTTGAATGGATAAAAAAATTTTTAATGTAAATTCAATAAAATTCCCATCTTATGTGACTACCAGTGTCAGATTAACCAATAGACAAATAAGATAAATATCTAGGGCCTGTAATTCAGAGGGGCCCAGCTTTATACCCTTTAGTCCCCAACTTTAGTTGGCTTTCCTATAACTAATTGTTAAAATTAGTTATAGGGAATAATAAAAATATTAATAAGTACCTGAAAAGATGCATCAAATGCACAAGAGGTGCAGGTCCATAAAAGATCAGTATATATATAATACGCTTTACTACAAGACTACCAGGAGCCCAATTTGGTAAACAATCAATTAGAAAGTAGCACTCTGGCATTTTTTATTTTAGCAACAACAACCACTGTATATACATAGTGGAAAACAAATCTTTGTGTTGTAGTACAAAGATTAAATAAGTGTATATCAAAGCAAGTATTACTTCAACCAAATATATTTTTCTATATCAATTATTGAGCTTTTGATTAATATGTCAAATAAATTTATAGTGAATAATAAATTGAAGTAGCAACTATTGATTTTTAGATTGATTATAATTTATTATATTATTATATTTAATAAAATAATATTAAATTCTATTTAATATAAAAATAAAACATACAAAGACTAAATGCTGATGTTCTCCTACTGATGTTCTTGGACTAAAGGAATGTACAACACCAAATGGTTCCACATGTATAAATTTATAATCAGATGAAGTCCCAAGACTCACAACAACCTGAAAATATTTATAAAATACAAAATTTTGTGTTAAAAGTGTAGAAATTACACAGTTAATATAAAAATACTAGAAGAGAAAAACTATATTATAAATAAAATCTATTAAACCACTAAAATATTATAAAATAAAATCTATAAATAAAAGTTACTGTATTTTTGGAAAATATGTAACTACAATGACCATAAATATTTATAAAAAAAAAAATTCAATAATCTACAAACAAGATTTGAAATTTTTGTATGATTTTCAACAGGAACATTCTTGTTACAATAAAGATAAAATGAAATGGAAAAAAATAGAAAATTTTATTAGGTTACAGATTAAATTTTTTAAGTTAAAAAACTAAATAAATAGATCAGTTTTAAAAATTCAGATTTTATTTTTTGATTAATTATACTAATCAGATTTTGAGAATTATTAAATTTGAGAATGTCCTTCTATTGGCAGACATCTGCATAATTATAATAGATGAAAAAATATTGCATTTTAAAGGTATTTACTATTATGCAAGATTTTTCAATGACATTTTAATAATATATGATTCACAAACAACAACAGTCAGAGAAATATGCAAACAAATTGGATGGAAGACTGACACTTTATATATTAATTTTTCGTATATAAATCATTTATTTGAAAAATATAAACCAGAATTTAATAAATTCTCTATTTGTATAGTAGCAAAACAAAAAAAAAATAGGTTAATGGATATAATTAACATTATAAATAAAGAAGACCAAAGAATACTAGGAAAACAATTTGAAATTGCAGGAGTCATTTATAAAATATTATGTATGTGTACTAGTCCAAAGTGTTACATAGGAGAAACAGGAAGAAGATTGGAAAAAAGGTTAAAGGAGCATGAGGCGGCAATCTGTTTAAAAAGACAAGAATCACCATGGTACCAGCACTGTAATAGTTTTAATTGTAAAATTACACAAATAATGTTAAAATATTACACAAGGCTAAAAATTTGTTAAAAAGAATAATTNTTGTAAGTCAAAAATTAATCTATAAAAAACCAGTACATTTGTACACAGAATAACCACTTATTGTTAGTGTTTGATTATTCAATGTATTTATTCAGTTGTGTATATTATTCAATATTATTCAATGTAGTTGCGAGTAAACAAGCATAATGGGAAAAAAGGTTTTTGATTACCGCCTCATGTTCCTTTAACCTTTTTGGAAAAAAGGTTAAAGGAACATGAGGTGGCAATCCATTTAAAAAGACAAGAATCACCATGGTATCAGCACTGTAATAGTTTTAATTGTAAAATTAATAGAAATAATGTTAAAATATTATACAAGGCTAAAAATTTGTTAAAAAGAATTATTGAACATTTCTGTATTAAAAAAAATTATGCAAATGTAATTAATTTAAATATGGGTATGAATGTAGATGCATGCTGCGACGACTTAGTCCAGTATAAAGGAACAACAGTTGGCAAATGAATGTATCCACTGATGAGGCCAGTTAAAACTAGAGAAATGCATTTGGAATTGTTGAAAATGGAATATTTGGAAAAAGTTAAAATAAAGGTCTAGTATTTGTTTGTTATTTGGTTTGTTTGCCTGGAGAAAACTTGCTCAAAATCTGATATAAAGTGTGAAATATTATTTGTTAATACTCTAGAGATATTTTAATTTTAGTATTAACATTTTAAAGAATGTTAAATTTCCTTCTATTATTAATATCTATATTAATTAATAATAATGTGTGAAAATGTCTTATAATTAACTGTTTATCTCAATTTTTTAATAACTATTAATATAAACATTTTTATATGAATTTTTTCAGTTCTTTAATAGCATCATTTTAAACTTCCATCATCTATAAAAATTTATATATATAT